TCTCTCTCTCTCTCTCTATATATATATATATATATATATATATATATATATATATATATATATATATATATATATATATATATATATATATGAAAATGAATCCAAATGAAATGTATATAAATACAAAAATAAAATATTTACTAGTGCCAGCTGTCGCTTGGGAAACTTTGGCAGGGATAACGACCTAAGCTTTCAAGATATCAGTTTTCTTTTTAAGCCCATTCCAAGTTGGGGAATTGATTATTCTTTTTTTTATAACAAAAAAGAAACAAACAAACAAACAAAAAACAACAGCTTGACTCGTTGATGAAACATTCCTTGTTGAAAGTTCCAAACTAGCAACAATAACAATAGAAAAATAGTAATGTACAAAAATTTCCTAGATGAATTCTAACAACACCGCCTCTCCCAGCCTTTCCCGTTGAAGAAAGAAGAAGAAAAAAAAACATTTGAGAGACTATTGAGGGTTATGAAATGAACATGGTTTGGATGAAATCAGATAAAAGGTTTTAGCAGGAGAGTGAACCATGGGATTATCACTTTAAAAAAATCTGGGCAATTAACATATAAACGAACATTGTCAGAAACAATGATTTTTAAAAAAAAAACTGGATGTAATTAACCAGACCGGGGGGGGGGGGGAAACATTAAAAAAAAAAATAGGTTTAATAAAACAGACGGGGGGGGGGGGGGGAAATTGATACGAATAAATTATTATTGAGACATAGAAATTAATGGAATGGAAGGAAAACTAACAAAATAAAGGAGTTTTTTTTTAAAATTAATTAATTTATTTATTTATTTGAAAATGATGCCTCATGATGCATTCCATCTATGTCGGAAAACGAAACAAAAAATACGACACCAGAAAGGAATACCGGGGTCAACTATTTTTAGGTGAAGTTGTCTCCCCGAGGGGTGGGGGGGGGGGGAAGCTTTGTAAGATGAGGGTTGGAGAAACAAGGGGAAATAAACATAAAAAATTATCTTTGTCCTTAATTTTTTTTTTTTTTTTTTTTTTTTTTTTAAATTTTGAGTGAGTTGGTTTTTTTTAAAGAAAAAGAAAGATATGTACTTGTATGACCGAGTGTGTGAATGCGAGTTTGATTATCTGTGCTATTTTGCAGACGATAGTGGGGTTCTCAAACATTTAATTAATAAGGGTAAGCGACGAACAAGGCTAGACACAACAGATATGATATTAACTAACAGATACGTTTGGATGATTCCTTCGAATTACTTATGAAAACTAACAAATACAAGTCCAAGTAAAAGAATGTGTCTTTCTTTTCATTTTTTGTAAGAAAAAAAAAAATTTGAAATATATCTGTATCTAATTATTTTCTAATACCCAAAAAAAAAAAAAAAAAAAAAAAAAAAAAAATTTTTGTTTTTTTTTTTTATTTTTTTAAAAAAAAAAAAAATTTGAAAAATAACTTTTTTTTATTATTTTTTAAAACCCAAAAAAAAAAAAAAAAAAAAAAAAAAAATGAATGTCGATTTTTATTTTTACATATACATGCTTAAATTGATATACGTTATATTTTGTATGTTGCTCGTGTTAATAAAATGATTACATGCATCATTACATTTAAACATACATTTTGGATACGGTGTATGTCGCATGCATTCATTATGTATGTGAACCATTGTGTGAAGCAATAAGATGTTAATAGCGTGTGTACGTGAGGGTTTTGTATGTATCGAATACGTGTATATGCATGTACGTATTAAATAGGCACGCCGCATACAGTTGTCGATGAGATGTGCATCAATGAAGATACTAAGCTCGAATACCTAAGTGTAATCGAACCTCCTATTTTTAAGTACTTCGATTCTCTATGTCTTAATATTAAAAACTTTTTTTTTTTTTTTGAATTAAAGTCGTTTATTTTTAAACTAGTGAACGTTTTCCAAACCTAAATTAGACTATTTTTTAAAAGAAATGTGAAGTAATTTGTAAAATCCAACAATTTTTTTTTTTTTTTTTTTTTTTGATGGATGGATTTATACTTTTAAAAAAGTGTGATGACGTCATTGTTTGGCTTTTTATGCCTTAGCTGTTGCTGTCTTTACGTACAATTTATATTTATAGAAATTTCCAATTATATTAGTGAATGCGGAGATTTAAGGAAGGGTATTGGTTTATTTCACGGGTTTTCCTTGACCTTTAGAGCCGCCCCCCACCCCACACACACACACACCACCACCACCACCTCTTCCAGCTTGAGAACCGTGAAGGCTAACGCCGAACACTAGTTGCACTTATGTAACACCTCCCCCAGTGACATTTTTAAATAAAATCTGCACTTGTCATTGGATGTCTGCTTGGCGGGAAAGTTTGGTGCATGGAAAATGAGCACACACACACACACACTACTTTGACAGTTATGTATCGCCCCTAACGACACCAACAGCTAGCAACGTCAAAATATGCTGGGGGGGGGAGCTCATTTCTAAACTCTTCAGTTTTAGAGGAGTTAAATTGACCTGAATTGTTTGTTGTTTTTTTTTTTTTAATTAATAAATAAAAAGTGCCTCTCACGTGACCTACTCAGCTTGGGTTTTCTAAGGTTGACAATGGGGCATTAGGGTCACGAATTATAACTGTTGTATATTTTGGCTTGGCGAGCTTTAATATTCCATTCAAACACACATTCGATGTTATTTCCTGTTATACAAACTATACAGGAATCGGTTTCTTAAATGGAAAGAAAAAAAATAATAATAAAGATTTGAAAGACTCAGGATTTGAGATATCTTCAGGCATGCACTGTTTACCAATATCTGCTGCAGTGATGATATAAGCCAGTTTTTTTTGTTTTTTTCAGACCTTTCACGTCTGCTAATCGTTAAAAATAAGAATTAGAAAAAAAAACAGAGGGGCCGCTAAGGGCGAAAATAACAATTATTAAATTATTTACAAACAATTTTGCTTAAAATATAGATTTAAAACTATATCATTTTTAATAATTATTATTTCTTTACATTTGTTTTGATTTTTAAGCAGAAAATGTGGGCTAACACAATTGTGATAACAATACAATAATTCAAACTCTTGATGGTTATTTCTGTGTAGTGGCATGAGAGAGACTTTCTTTCGTCAAAATATATCAGGAAGGTCAGTTGTTACAGACGTGAACGATGGAGTCCGAGTTTTAAATTGCCAGAAACTCCTCCCCAGTACTCGACCTGAACGAATAGCCGTCAACTGTGGTGACCCTTTTATAAACCGACCTGTTTGGTACTTGCCCTATATCGTAATAGACCTGAATGGGCTAGCCCCATATAATGGAATCTTATCGTTCTAGCCCTGCATAACGGAAATTAATGGTTCTAGCCCTATATTACGGAGGACCTGAATGGTTCTAGTCCTATATAAAGGTCCTGAATGTTCTAGCCCTATATAAAGGACCTGAGTGATGCTGCTCCCACTTTCAATAAAGTTTGTTTAAAATGCAATCGTTATTATCAATTTCTGTGGAATAGGTCACGTGGACACCATGTCATTAAGAAATAAGAACAAATTGAAAATGGCTTAATGTGAAACAAGGTCTTCTTAACAACATGGATTGGTTTAAAAAAACAACAACAACTAAATATTCAGATAGAGTTATTTGTATATAAAAAATGTGCGTACTTGCACACAGTACTTGCACACCGTGGTTCGATAACAATGGCCCTTTCCCATGACACCACTTTAAATGACATGTCGTCATGCCTGGAGGCGGTCATTACTCAGCATCTTCTCAAGACGAAAAATCGCACGATTTAAGAAGTATCTTCTTGCCCTTAAAAGCATGTCGTTAAATGGAGAATTTGCGAGCAAGGCGGACAGGGCGTGGATGTTTCTCTTCTCTTCTTGATTTTTTTTTTTTTTTTCTTTTAAAATATCCATGTGTC